TCTTAATTCAATGTTTCACATGCAAGCAGTATATAAGCATCTAATATAAATAAATGTATTGATTATTCAGAATCATTCATGTCTTTTTTTTCTGAATCCTTTTTTGTAAAAAGTTATTAATTTATTGAATCTATATAAATACACATAAAAGAAAATAAATCGAACACTCATCTTCTTGAATAAGTTTTTCTGTCTCAATTTCAATTTATAACATTTAAGTCTACTATTAAGTCAGTGTCAATAAGTAAATGATTTATAATACGAAATAATTTTTTTAGCTTTTTACGTAATTAATAACAATATATTAATTATATGAAATCGCTTTTATACATTAACGAATATAAATATAAATCATCTAAAAAAAAAATAGTGTTATTAATAAATAATTTTTTGTTCTTGTCACTTCACATATATAATGTTTGGATCCATTATGAAATCATGATCAATGGTATTTATATTGGATAAATCAAATTTACTTTTTCAAAATGCAGCAATTATATAGTGATTTATGGGATCGATTTTGTACGTTCACAAATAAAAATCTAAATAAACAAAATGAAAATAAATATTGACTTCAAACATGAACAAATTAAAATATTTTTTTTAATTTCACAACAACATTATTTGTATTTTCTTTTCGTTGATTTCTACTATATATGCCAATGTATGAAATCTATTATTTGAATTATTATATACTTAATTAACACTTTAAAAACTAGACTTTCATTTGAGTTTATGACTAATCGGCTTAATGTTGATATTGTAAGATTCTATGCATAGATAAGTATAAATATCAATAAACAAAAATAAAATAAATAAGGTTGTTTTTAAAGAAGCTTATTTTCTTGTCCACTTTATAACATTTCATCGAATAGAAAATCATTATCAATAAATATTCATATCTAATGAACCAAACTTTGTAAATTTTTTAATATCCAACGGTTGTAAAAATAATTTATGGAATCGATTGTATATATAGACATAGATAAGCATAAATAAAGAATAAAAAATAATGTTGTTAAATAAAGTATATTTATATTTACTTATATATGCAAATGATCATACTTTTCTACTAATGTATAATTATTGAGGATTTGGAATATCTAAGTTTATTTGTCTTTGTATATCTCAACTTTGATCATGACCTGGTAACAGTTCAATTGATTGTAAAATTGAAAACTAAAAATAAAAACCTATTTAACATCAATTCTATCGATTTGTTTTTGATAATTGTTTGTATGCATATACATCTATGAGTGAAATTATTCGAAGTTTTTCGGAACAAATTTTTTTTGTAATTTTTCAACTCTTCAATTTGATCACTCAAGAAAATTGTATACATATATTTGTGTATTTACTAATTTTTTTCTTTTTATAGATTTTTTTTAGCAAAGAGATCACTTAGAAATGAATTTTACATGGCAGGAAAAAATATTTGATAATATATTAACATATATGATTCTTAACTAACTGGACAAGCGAAAAAAGCAAAGGAAGAAAGAAAAAAAATAGTATATGCTACTATAAAGTAGTAAAACGATGAGAATTCATCCAATAAGGTTTCTTTCCGATATAATTTCTCTTTCTAATAACTTCTAAGTTATAGAGAGAGAAATAGTCATGCAGTATTATGATGAAAAAAACAACACAGTTGTAACGGCAAAATGCCTTTAACTCATTGTTGAAATTTTATCATAAAATATACAATCAAACTAAGATAATATTTATAAGAACAAATTAGGACTATGATTATCTAATTTTCAGTTTGCTTATAATCTTTTATTATTTTTAAAAAGTTTAAATATTTGAACAATAATGTGCAGGGTGACATTTTTAAAAGAATTATTCTTCCTCTTTCTAATTGATCGACAACTGTCTTTTTTGAACTGTATATTTTTTTTAAATAATTTATAACGTTCTTATTCAGCTAACGGCTTGCCAATCAATTTAATTTTTCATGTGTCTGGCTATATTGAAACGTGCCGTCTATTTGGTTGGTTGTTTTGTGTCTATATAGAGAAAAAAAAGTCTCTTATTCTTCTGATGAATTAAATTATTAGAGCAACGGAACAACTATAGTTTGCAGATTATTTGAAAGTTCGTAAACGAAATGTGTAAAAAAAAAACCTTGTCTCTCTTTCATTGTTTACATCGATTTGTTCAATCTTATCGATGATTGATACATATAATTGAAGACTGCATCCATAAGTGTAAAAATCTTCTGCATTTTTGTTTGATTTCAGAATGCCTGTTATACAACGAAATAATTCTGCTGTCTCATCAGCTTCTACTGTTTCGAGACATACGAATGTTACACATTGTATTGTTCAACATCCAGATAATGAAAAAACACGAAAGATTGTTCATATGAATAAAATTGTGAATCCATCAAATCGTCGATTAAAGGTTGGTGATGATTGTACATTGAAAGGTGAAGGTCGTAATCATACACGTGTGAAGATTCTGTTTTGTGGTAAGTTCATCGTTTACGTGTTGCGGTCTATTTACACTCTTATTTTTATGATTTTGAAGGCGATTTAGACACTTGTCAACATCAACTTGATATAATTGGTGAATCAGAGATCAACGATGGTACCGATCTATATTTATAAAATTTATGATTGTAAATTCAATTCTTAATTTAGATTCGACATCAGCAATTATTTCTTCCAAAAATGATGCATTTAACAAAAAAAGCTCGAGTCCATTGGACGAAAACATGGTGAACAAGTGTATTGCTCGACGTAAGAAATTATTCTTTTATTTTTTTGAATATATCTTACACATTTTTTACCTTTTGTCTTCTTAGCAATCAACTCGGCACCTAAGGCATCGCCAGTTCAACCTAAAAATGTACCAGCTTCAAGTTCTTGTAACGGTTCAGGAACATCTAAAGCCGTTACTTACAAAACACAGAATAAGAAAAATTCCAAACCTCGTGGACAGGAAATCGGTAAATATAAGCAAATAAATGACTTATCGTAAGACTTATATTCTTTCTTTGAATAACTAGATATGCTTGAAAAAGACGATGACATTCACCATTCGAAGGAAGTATCGAATACTACAATGTTCCAGTCTCGTAATCCAGTACAATTACCAACATCGAATACTTTTGTTGCACGAAATGTGTCTAATCAAGTATTGACACAGAAATCTTCTAAACGTAAGACAAGAGTTTTTTTATATTATTTTTATATCTAATGATTGTATAATCATCTATTTCAGAAGGTCATTTTAATGCTTCTTCTTCTCGTAGTTCACCGAATTACGAGATGGATTTTGAAACATTGGATTCCAATAAGAAACAAAGTACGATGCGACAGAATAAGAGTGAAATAAATCATCTTTAATGTAATCTACTGTCATTTTTTTTTGACATTCTATTGTTAATATAGGCAATGAAAATGCTGATATAGCTGCTGGGTATTCAGGTTAGTTGATAAATTAGCCATCTTTCATATTGTGATAAGTGAATCTTGTTTCTTCTTTTTAAACTAGCAAATGATGAATTTTTGAATTTGTCTAACGACGACAAATATGATGATAATGATGATGATTGCGGCATATTGGAGGATTCTGAAGCCGACCAAACTACAACAACTATTGGTAAATCTGGTGAAAAACAAGTGAAGGAAGGTGAAACATATGATGAGTTACTAGTCAAGTACAAAAAGTTATCGGATAAATATCAAATTTTGAAAAATAAAGTTACAGCTTTACAACAACAAAACGAAATGTTAAATGCGACGATGTTACGTATGTGATGAATTAATTCTTCTTCCTATATAACAAGATAGATCATCATGCTTCCTTCTTTTTAGCTATGCCTCCACCTGAAATTCAACAATGGTTTGTGCATACTGCACAACGGTTCGAGAACAAACCATTATCAGGAACTGTTCTTAAAGATTCCAGTAGAGTATTGAAATTACCAGCCAATGTATTAATATCATTGAAACAAAATACTGGAACTCTTACTGCACGAGCTATTGTTCGTCATTTATTTCCATCTAAAAATCGTACAACTGATGACATGACTGAAAATATTCGTCAATCGATTCTTGGTAAAGTCAAATTTTATTTATATTTAATTTTAGAATGAATAGTTCTATTCTTCTTTAGATTTTGTGAAGTACTGTCATCCGAATGAATTATTTGTTAAAGGAAAAATCACTGAAGCTATCAATGGTCCATTCAGAACAGCCAAATTTAAGGCATTACACTCAGCAAATGTTTAATATGTCTCATGAAACAATGATCCTCATTTGAAGCCATACAAGAATATTAGTTCAAGTTGCGACAGAGATACTATTCAAACTTTATTACTTTGAGCATTTATGAAAAGACTTTCTACTTTTTCATGATATCTTTGTAATTATTGCATTTCCAAGATCAAAAAAATAAAATAAAAACATAAATAGCCATATTTTAGTGATTCTTTGTCTCAAAGTTATCTATATATATATATATATGTCTACGCATGAGAAATGTTGAGTTGATATGCTAAAATATCTTTGAAACTACTCAGTTTTAGATACAATTTTAGATATGTGGTCTACTCGTACTATCCATAGAAGAAGAAAAAGATTAAAGAAAAATTTATACCTGTTTGACAATACTTTTCAGTGTCAAGCTAATGCAGAAGTATCATCAATGGGTATATAGTGATCTCAATTAAGTTGATTCTATATACATTGGTCAAGCTATTTTGTATTTAGTTACAGAACAAAATGAACCAGTAATTGAAGTAGATGCCAACATCGAGACGCATTCGTTACATGAATTAAAGTATGAAGTTTCGATTCTTTCTTTAATCATCAACAACTGAATTAATTTTCTTTTAGCAATGATGGAAATATAGAGAGCAATTCAGAATGGATCGATGGGAATGTATCGGAAGAAATATTTGAAGAACAGTAATTAAAAAAGCTTTTTCAATTTCTAAACTTTATTGCAAGCAGACAACTAGTGCTGATACAAGAATTGAGTTGAGCTTTGTATATTACAATTAATTATCAACGTAGTTGCAATTGATGTTTTGGGACCTATATAATATTGTTTATTATATTATGATGAATTACTTTTGTTTCTCGTATTGCTTTAGAACAGAATATGAACGATTGAAGTTTATCAAGAGAAATTTGACGAAGCTGGAAATAGCTACTGCTTTAATCATCCTCAAGTTACGTCACAAATTGACAACGAAGGCAATATCTGATATTTGCCTATTTCTACGTTTATTTCGTGTGCTGAATGCTCCCAAAAGTTATGCAGCTGTAAAGCGTGTTTTGGAACGGAAGGCAACAAAAAATATTAAATCAGATATATTCCAAATTTGTCAGAATTGCAATAAGGTTTATCATAATGTATGTGATAATACACAATGCCACTTAGATGTTTCTCAAGCGCAAGCTCCTGCTTTCCTTAAATTTCAAATTAAAGATCAAATTCAATCAATTTTAGCATCTGAAAACAATTTTACTTTACATTCTTCGCCATCTTCATGCTATAATAGTTGTATTAGTGATATTCAACATGCTAATTGGTATCAGTCTATTGCTTTAAATGAAAATACATCGAATTTTATTACATTATTGTTAAATGTCGATGGAATATCCATATCTGATAGTTCAGATAATAGTCTTTGGATATTCACTGTAAGCTGACTATAAGTCTTAATTTTTATTAACGCATTTATGATCTGTTTCATTTTCTAGTTCATAATAAATGAGATCAATAGAACTCGTCGTTATAAACTACAAAATTGTATCTTTGGTGGTATATGGCCAGGACCGCAGAAGCCTAGTAGAGAGCAAACATATGCTATGTTAAAATTGATGACAGATGAATTGCAACTTCTAGAAAATGAAAATGCCTTCACCATTAAAGCTCTAGGAAATCAAATGGTGAAGCTCAAAGTGTTTCTTATTGGATCGACATGTGACAAGCCTGCACAGGCTATCGTTCAAAATGTAGCCGAGCCTATCGGTGAATTCGGTTGCGGTCGTTGTGAGATACCTGGTAGGAATCATTCTATAAATTGAAGAAGTATAATAATTTTTGTTTTATTCAAACTAATTTTAATTTTGTAATATTTTCATGCGGTTTAGGCATTCCTCTAGTAGCTTTGTTGTTCACTAACAGTAAGAGTATAATAATTGCAATGAGTGGTATCTCCTGTTTTTGAATTTCTTGAAAGTACAGAATTAATATTTTCTGTTGACCATGATAAAAGAAAAGAGATATTGAACACAACAGCGAGGCAGGTTGGAATTCTGCCCTATGGAATCTATTAGATTTGTATTTGTACAAAATTATTTGATTTCCAATTTCATCGTTTAAATATTTAACAAGTTGCCTTTGTCAGAATTTTTTACCTTTTTGTTTGTCTAAGATTATAATATTAAAACAGGTTTCTGTTATCAATAAAATTTTGTGAAAAATTTTTCTTTCAAAATGCTTGTCCATAAGTAATTGTGAAATAGATTGAGGTGTAACATTCTAACCTATTAATATGGGAGATATTTTGCTGCTTTTTAGTACTCAAGTTTGCATAAGTTCAATTGAAAGCCTGCGTAATTATGATTTTCATGCATTTCATTGCTAGATGAAATTTATTGATCAGAATCCATAGTTCAAAATTACTTCAAATTATACATGTTCATTAAATGTTAGAAAATATTGTTTTAAAGAAGCATAGCGAGAGATTTGTCTTATAGCTTTCTAACATTATCAGGTTACAAAGTGTCTTTTACTGAGTTGCCGATATTCTAGTTGTTTATAGATTAATTTGATACTTTTATTTCTCTTTTAGGCATCACCGTTCCTAGTCGTGATGGTGGCAAGCATTATATACGTGTTTTTCCGTTATCTTCAAAATCTTGTAATGAACCAGAATGTCGGTCAAACAAGAACTATGACAGAATTATGGCGTTGAAAAATGCAACTGATCAACAAAGAAAAGGATACTTGGGTCCATGTGCGTTACGAGCATTGAAGTATTTCGATGTGGGCAAGTCATTTCTTACAGACTCACTCCACAATCTTTATAGTGGTGTAATGGTGAGTATATTTTTATCTTAGTTAATTGGAGCACATAGCAATGTTCAGTGACCATATTCGATGATTTTTCAATGTCACAATCAATAGTACCTCGTTGAGGGATAATTCATCTTGAATTAGTTAAACAAAGTCACTTTAACTCTTTATTTCCTCTACTTATGTAGATTTTTTGAAAAATATATCTCTTGAAATAAAAAATAGAATTATTCGATGCATGAAACCGAATTTCATTTCATTATTTTTATTAAGAAAAAACTACTTAAGTTGTGGTTTTCTGATGATTACAAATGGTCGGATTGGTGCAGCTTCACAAAATTTGATATTGTTAGTGAAAAGCTAAGCCAATATCGATATCCATCAACAACGAGCAGAGCTCCAAGACCAATCGTTAAATTTCATCGATTCAAAGCAAATGAATTTCGTTTGATTTTACTTTTTGCAGCACCAGTATTAAAACATTATTTAAAACCAGCCGTTTTCAAAAATTATTTATTGTTGGTGTTTGCATTGCATCTCGCCGAGTCTCGTTCACTTCAATATGAAGATATTGATCATATTCGTTTTTTATTAGGTAAGATAAGCTATTTATTTATGAATTAATCTAATAACGAAAAACTGGAGTTCGTTGATCAACTTTTAAAATTTATGTCCGAAAAACTTACTAGTATTACAGACTGCTGCCTTGTTCATTGGTCACTTTAATGAGACGTTCAAAACAAAAAGAATAATTGTTGTTATTTTTGTATAGTTTTTCTCACGTCTTTTAATGAGTGAAGAATAGAAGTAAAACAACAACAATTGTACCTAAAGTTTTCACATTAAAGAATGATCTTGTATCCAGCATTTAAGTCGATAAAGAAGTAAAAATCAATTCAAGATTTGAACAAGTTTTATCCAAATAACTTTCAAAACAAAATTAATAGACTCCTATTTTTCGTTGTTCACTTGATCAGATGTCTTTCTACATCAGTAAAAAGTGTATTTAAATATATCATATTTTAGATACTTTTTTACATGAATATCCATCGTTGTACACTAATCGACATAATCAACAAGTGATACACAGTGTTCACCATGTTGCACAAAGCGTGCAGGACTACGGACAGTTATCAAACTATTCAACATTTAATTTTGAATCTGTTCTAGGTAACGGAATGTTTTTATATTTCTTTTACTATCTTTTGATGAACTTTAGGGATGCTACGATCAACTGTTCATAGTACAAAACATCATGCCGAAGAAATAGCTAATACAATGAACCTTCTTCATTTGGCTATTCACAATACTCTTTCAGACGACTTCAATAATGAGCTTAGAGAGGTATTGGAAGAAGTTCAAGCAAAAAAACGAGCTTCGAAAACTGCTTCATCCATGTTTCTAATGAACCATCACACAATTAAAGTTCGAAGGAAACAAATAATTGAAGAACGTCAGTACAAAAATATTCAACACGTTTTTTCCAGAACAATCAGATGCTGTAGTGGAATACTGTGAAACATTTTCCAAATGCACGCGTTTTATAACGTTTCTATAAAATCGTGTGTGTAGATTTCGTTCTGCGGCGTTTTCTTATGTAAGCACTTGGAAAACGCGTTTAAGAAATCAGTACGTTTTGCAGCGTTTCGAATAACAGATGCTGCGCAATGCGTTTCATTCCACACGAAACGAAGTAAAACGCGTGACTGCTTACACAGAACGCCGTGAAACGCTGTCTTACTGACGGAAACGCGCTAGGCAGACCGTTTCCTTAAAATATTTAACCCATGGGTTGCACATGAATAACAAATTGTTGATCTTGATGTGTATAGAATAGATTTATCGATATAAATAAATTTTTATTCAAAAGAAGAATATATCTTGTTTCATTCTTTTCTGTTGTAATAAATCCACGTAACAAAGAAAGATTTTTTCAAACTTCTATAATGAATTATTGTGATCTAAAATTTTGTTGATATTTAGATATGTTCATCCAAAAAGAATATTATTGTAAAAATTTAAGTGTTTAAAAACTTCCATTGTGTTGTTTTTTTCGACAGTCTAAGAAATTGAATCAACTTTTTTAACATTAAGTATGTCTACTTAAGTAATAGTTTGTCTGATGTAATATATTTTGTATTTTATCATAGCAAATAAAATAATTATACATAAATTTTGTTATTGAGTATCATTAATAAAAATAAACAAAACAATTTCATTTTCATTCCAGATGAGATACAATCTAAAAAAATTCATAAATAAATCATTATATATGTATGTTAATGTTAACAAGAGAGAAAGGAAAGAAAAAAGAAATATATGTGAAGAGAGGAATTTTCTTTTTTTTTTTCGTCTTTCTCTCGTCCATAAATCATTGTTCATGTTGTTATCATTGATGATCAATGGTCAACATGTACAATTAAATATGTATATCATTTTCGACGAGAGAAAAAAATGATTTTTCAAGGTATATATACGTATGATTTTCTATATAAAATTATTCAAATTTTTGAATCAAATAATAATCATTTTTCTTTTTCTGTTTTAGATTGGCCTCGATGATACAATATTAATCAAATCAAGATCAAGCCATACAATAACAAAAAAATGTAGGTATCAGTTTTCCTTTTTTTTAATTTTTTTTAATTTTACGATCATAAGGATGGTGGGGTAAGGCCTCCTTTGATCTTTTTATTATTTTTATTTTATTTTAAGGAATAAACAATGAAGAAAAAGATAACATTAGGGTAAGTCATCTCATTCTATTTCATTAAATAACATTGATTAAATTTTCTTTTCTGTTCATTTCAGCTATCAATATCATCGCGTCATCAACATCAGACACGGTAAGTAATTTTTTTTTTTAGATGAGAATAGGGGAGAGGGGGATGAGGTTAGATAGTGTAATATTGAGATTGAGGAGAAGGATACAGTGACTGAGAAAAGAGTGTTAGTAGGGGAAAGGGGTGAGTTATGTCCATTGAGATTATGTCCCCGTTAGTTACAGGCCTTCCGGGTAGGCCCTAAAAACCCGGCCAGAAACTGTCTTGGTGTCCGTGGCACACGACCGGGCCCTCCAGACTTATTGACATATTCCTCGAGTGGGAGGGATATTAATGATTTGAGTCTGTCCCGTACGTGCATGAGCGTTACGCTCGCCACGGCTCCACCAGGATGGTTTCTGGTCGCGCGCGAGGATAGAATAGACATTCATTTCATCAATTCAGCGTGATTTATTTGAAAGGACAGGAACGCAAAAAAAATAATCCATCGTATCGAGTCTATTCGATTGAAAATCGTTGAACACGATGATTGTTACAATCGGCGACATGGAGATTGCCATGACGATCGAAGGACAAACCCCTCGGATAGCGAAACTGATTTGCTCCTTCTCCTTTACCATTTCCACCCACAATGACAGTGCCCTGTTCCGCTCCTTTAGGCCAACGCATCACTCGATCATTATTCGGGTCCGCTACATAGATGGTACCTAATGTATCGACGAACAGTCCTTGAGGATACGACAACTGTGTCAGAGCATTCCCTTGGCCTTGACCTCCAGCGACGACAATTCCTTCTTTTGCACCTTTATTCCATTTCATCACATGATGATTGTCCCAGTCTGACA